AAATGCCAAGCAAGAACAGCCTTTTTGATTTTCTGACTCCAGCTGTTTGCATGTTTTATTATAATACTCTACTTTGTTTTCCTTTGCTGTCCTTTGAAATCTTCTGTTTAGCTCCTTAATTTCTTGATTTCTTCCCTTTGCTTTGGCTTCTTGGCATTCCAGTGCAATATTCAGAGTCTCTTCTGACTTCCATCTTGGTCTTTTCTTCCTCTCTGTCTTTGTAATGGCCTTTTGCATTCTTCATGGATGATATTCTTGATACCCTTCCACAGCTCATTTGGTCTTCACTCATTGGTGTTCAAGGCCTCAATCCTGTCCCTGAGATGGTTTTTAAATCCAAGTTGGATAGACTCAAGGTAAAATTTTGGTTACTATGGATTTGATTTCATTTTCTTTAGCTACTGCCTGAACCTGCATATGAGTAGTTGGTGGTCTGTTCCACAGTCAGCACCTGACCTAGTTTTCACAGCTGATATTGAGCTTTTCCAATGATTCTTCCAACAAATGTAATCCATTTGATTTCTATTCATACAATTTATGGTCTTCAATGTGGATTAAAGCTCACCATCAAGAAGACAAAGATCCTCACCACTGGGCCAATTGGCAGCACCACGATGGACGGAGAAGAGATTGAGGTTTTTAATAATTTCAGCTTCCTCGGCCCCACAATCAACACTCTGCACCAGCAGTCAGGAAATCAAAAGATGAATTGCACTGGGAAAATGTGCAGTCAAGGACCTCTCCAGAGGGCTGAGAATAAACGACACCCGTCTAGAGACCAAGATGGGTCTGATCTTTGCAAGTACTTACTACGCATCAGAGAGCTGGACACTGACTAAGGATGACAGAAGAAGAATTGATGCCTTTGAGTTGTGGTGTTAAAGAAGAGTATCAGTCATACCATGAACCACCAAGGGAACAAACATTTCTGCGTTGTACAGGGTGAAACCATGTTTCTCCTTGGAGGCTAGTGTTTTGAAGCTCCGTATCACTTACTTTTGGCACATGACCAGGAGGGACTGGTCCTTGAAGAAGGACATCTTGCTCAGAAAGGTGAAGGGACAGCGCAGGAGAGGAAAACCCTGGATGAGATGGATTGACACAGTAACTGGGGTAATAGGAGTAGGTTTGTTGGAGTCAGACTGCCTCAGGATAGGGCAGAATTCAGAGCTGTTGTACATAGAGTCACTATGAGTTGCAAGTGGGTCAACAGCACCAAACAACATGTTGTGTTGTTTTCAAGTGCCATCTAGTCGAGTGACTGTGAACAACAGATCTGAACCCTGTCCTGTCCTGTGCCATGTTCACACTTCCTGGCATGTTAGAGCCCACTGCAGCAACAACAGTGTCAATCTATGCGGTCAAGGGTCTTCCTTTCCTTTGCCAATCCTCCACCATGCTAAGCATCATGTCCCTTTCCAAAGAATAGTTCTTCATAGAACCATGCCTGAAGTACACGAGGGTGTAATTTTTGCCTCCAAAGAGCACTCTGACTGCACCATTTCCAAGATATATCTGCTTGGTTTTTTGGTAGTCCATGGGATGTTCAGTGCTCTTCTTCAACACCACAGGTCAAAACCATCAATTCTTCTGTCACCCTTATTCATTGTCCAGCTCTC